AGAGAGAGAGAGAGAGAGAGAGAGAGAGAAAGAGAGAGAGAGTCGGGATTGGGAGGGAGGCGGAGGCATACGTTCACGTCTCACACTCCCCCGCAACTTCAAATGGAGGGTTTCAAACCCCCTGAAAATTAAGTAATTGAACCCCCCCCCAAAAAAGATTTTTTTTTTGTTTTTTCATATCGGAATCCATGTCCCGGGGGCGGAGGTGGGCAGATGGACTGGGCACCCGAACCTCCGGACCCTCCCCCTGTCTGGCCGCCATGGCGTTTCTGCGGCCGTGACCATCGCAGCCATGACTGCGGGGTTGCGGTCCCCACTGCTGCGGCCGGGGATTCGTAATTGACGCCCACTCCCCACTGCGGCCAGCCCACGGACCACTGCCATTTCTTCCAGCCACCCCCTAAAAGAATTGAATGAGCATATCATGATAACCAAAAATGACCTGACTCTGTCTGATAATTAGAGCCACCTGTTCTCTCCAATCCTTTATTTCCAGGAGAAGTCCTACAGTCCAGAACAGAGAATCCTAGCACGTGGGACCTCACCTCACGTTTAATAGCAGAACCTTGAAAGTGCATCCCGCCCCTTTTCTGTTTTCTTAGTGAAACATCCATTAATCCTGGCACTGATATTAAGTAATGATCATATGCAGCAATTATGTCAGGTGCAGTTGGTAGGAGTTCCTTCTTACCAAACCATCGTGATTATGACCCATGTTTTCTTACCTTATACTGCTTCTGCAGTCTGCGGAGGGTCGGGACAACGCACCCTCAGACACCGGTTCGTCATGCGTCCAACAGTCGTCGCAAAAGTCAAAATTGTTGCCATTACCTTGAATCCGACATTGTTGTCGCCGGTAGGGGGGAGAGAGAGAGAGAGAGAGAGAGAGAGAGAGAGAGAGAGAGAGAGAGAGAGAGAAAGAGAGTGAGAGAGATTTTTTTCATTACTTGATTCTTCGTCCTTTTGTTCTTCTTCTTCTTTCCAATACCCTCCTCCTCCACGTGACAATCGCTACTCCTTTTCTTTCTCCAAGCTTGAGATAATGAAGTTTCTGCGACGAAACTTGAAATTGTGTCGGATGTAATGCAATAAAAACACTTGATTCGTGAAAACCTAAAAAAACGACAAATGTTTACAAAACCTCACATTTTTTATAGAATGAAAACGTAAAAGTCAAACTGTTATTTTTTACACAAAAAGAGAGCGTTTTCAACTGTTTTTCGATAAAGGAGGCAAAAAACGAGGTGAAAAGTCAATTCTTCCTCAAAATGTGCAAGAAAACCCTTTCTTGCAAAATCCTCCTATATCAGGCTATATGGCTATAAGTCATTCTCTGTAGATTTGCAAAATGCAAATCTCAAATAGGACAATTTTTAAGGACTACAAGGCAAACTTGAAAGATGTAAAAAAAAACGGATTTTGGTGACTACTCATTTATAGAATGATAAGTCATTTTCAGCAGTTAGGTAAAAACCAGGATCTGCGAAAACTAATTTATAGGACTATAAATCGATTTTGATGTTAACAATAAAACCCTTAGCAAAAAATATATGTTATTTAAAATAAGAATACAAACAACTTTTGCCAGGGAGACACCTTCAAATTCTTAGCTAAACACGAGTTTAAAATTAAAAAAAATGGGGAAAAAAACTAGGTTACCTCTCCGGAGGTCCGGGACCCCGGGAACGGTCCGGGTTGTCCGACCGGACCACCGGGCCGGTGGTTCGATGTCCGACGAAGGTCCGGCCCCTGCGGAAAATAGGGGTCAGGCCTGGAAGGGGCATCTGGGGGGTTGGAGGGTCACGCGGTGAAGTAAGCGGCCCTGCTGGACCTCGGTCCTCGCAGGCCGACTCGGAGGCCAACAGGGCCAAAAAAAATCGAAACAGAAAAGGCCCGACGTGGGTCGTCCAATCGGTCCGATTGACGGCCTTGATCGGGCCTGAATTGGAATTCGAATTCAGGTGGGAACCGCCCGCCCGCACCTGCCGGCGTCCCCGTGCTGCCCCCCCTCCCCCCCCAGTCGCTGTACACTGTGACCATCGCGTCAACGAGCGTGTGTGCGCGCTCGCACGGACGTGGCACCCCAGCCCTGCCATCATCGACGCCATCTCCAGGTGTGTCTCGACGTCGTCAGTCTTCCTCCTCCTCTCCCTTTATCGTCTCCTTTTCCTCCTCCTCCTCCTCCTCCTCCTCCTCCTCCTCCTCTTCTTCTTCTTCTTCTTCTTCTTCTTCTTCTTCTTCTTCTTCTTCTTCTTCTTCGTC